TCGGTGTGGTGGCTCAGACCTGTAATCCCAGCACTCTCGGAGGCTAAGGCCAGAGGATTGCAAGTTTGAAGCTAACATGGGCAACTTATCAAGACCATATCTCAAAATAGAAAATAAAAACAGTACTCAAGGCTGGGAATGTAGCTCATTACAAAAGTCCTGGGTTCAGTTGCCAGTACTGAAAAGAAAATCAAGATCAAATTTATGGGCTAGGGCCATTTATGGGCTCATTGTAAGAGTGTTTTCCTAGCATGTGTGAGGCCCTGGGTTTGATCTCCAGCACAGGCCAAAAAAAAGTATGCAGGGAAAGTATTTCTCACACTATAAGTGATTTTCCACCTTTAGGCGAGTAGCTTAGTTCAGTTCCAGAAAGATCAATTAATGTGCTAGATCCTTTTTAACACCTGCATGTCTATAGAGTGCACCTTGGTCTTTTGGCAAGTTAGACATTAGTAGTTGAACTTGCTGTGTTACTTCTTTCTTGTTGCTGTTCTCCCTTCTTGACCAGATACAAGGCCGGGTGGATAGCAAGTTAGGCCATCACTTTAGGTCCCAAGAGTTGGAACAAGTGGCCAGATGAGCCACAAATCTTAGCCAAGTCTGAGTTTAGAATGTTCTGTTCACAGGGCCAACAAATAAGGTTCCATTGTACATTATGTAGCTCATCTGAACTTGAATGTTCGTATTTATTATGTAAGTTAATCAAGCCACAGTTTTTCCCATCTGTGTGGTACAGCTGAACACATGGGGCTACAGAAGTCTAAGTATAAATGGCAACTCAGAAGATAGCTGGAAAGTCCCAGAAGTTCTCAACAAGGTCAAGAAACATTTTCATGGGATGCCATAGTACTTTCTTATTGTTTGCTACTATGGTAATTATCGGGGACCTATGATTAGATATGTTCTTAAATTATTACTGAAATTTTCAGGACAAAAATAAAAGTATTTTTGCTTGACTTTTGGTGATTCTAGGGGTTGCTATTGTTAAGTTTTCAGCCACTTGTCCAGAGGTATTAAAGTCCCAGATATTCAAAAGCTGTCCCCAGGATCTAGCCTTCTCTCGACAGCCAGTCCTTCCTGCCCAGCCTGCAGGCTACCTCTGCATGCACATCTCTCTGCATACTTGCAGAGCTGCACTGTCATTCTTTGTACTTTTCTTTATGCTGATGCTAGCTAGCATATAGATTTAGATGGGGGAAATTTCTAATCAGCTATCTATAGTATTTTCCCTTTCTTTTTTTTTTTTTTTGATACCTGAGATTGAACTTGGGTCCTTCCACTTGCGAGGCAGGCAGCGGAACCACTGAGCTAAATCTCCAGCTTCCCTTTCTTTTTTAAAGTGAGTTGTTTCAGAATATCTTTTTTTTTTGACATTGTATCTCCAAATTACAATGTAATAATATTTAGCTGTCATTCAGGGTTCAGTTGCAAAAACAAGAAGCTACTCTACCTGAAGCAGAAGGGAGTCAAGATCCAAGTGCATGGGATGGCTGGGGGAGTGGGCTGCAGACTGGCCTTCGAAGTCAGTCCTGAACACTCCCCGGAACTGGACCTCAAGCAGTGCTTAGGCCTGGGCCATGATGAAGTGGGTGCCTGCCAATGAAATGCAACGCAGAGAAAACCATTTCCATGAGCCCAGAATGTTCTTAAAATGAGGCAACATTAAAAAAATAAGTGGCTTTACTTAAATACCCGTATGTGTTTGAAAGACCAATGTCATTGATGGCACTTGGCATTTATCATCAGGACAGGAGAAGCCTGGACCATCCAGGTCATCACCCTCTCACGCATTCTTCTGCTCTGTCCCTGCCTGCTGCCATAGTTGTTTCTGCTTTTAGCCTTGGTAAACAAGAAGCCAAAAGGCACATCTCAGACCTTAAGGGCTGCCTTAGGAAAATCATAAGGAAGAGGCTCAAAGGTATTGAAGAACTCTGAAGAGAAATAATGGCACAGAAGTTCCTAGGAGTCCACATCCCTAGTTCCCTGACCTAGTATCCCTACGTCCTAGTTATTCAACAGGAAACGCTCATCAGTAAACCTTAAAGAAATTGTCACATTTCATTTCCATTTGTGTTTTGTTTTAGTGGTTTTTGAAACAATTACCCACTATCTAAGTCCTTTTTTTTGGTAAAGGGCATCGAACTTGGGTCCTTGTGCTTGCGCAGTGGGCGGCGAAACCACTGAGCTAAATCCCCGGCCCAATCTAAGTCTTATCTGGCCTACTAAGTTTTATTTTTTCATTAGTACTGTTTGCAGTACATGATGTTCACATTCCTTGTGGGGAGTTGGTACACGTACATAACACATCTTAATTCCTGTTTCATCCCCTTCCCCTTCTCT